GAAAATGATGTATTAAGTCATAACTTTCTTATAGCAAGTTGTGATTGTATCAGCAGCGAGAACGCCAGTCGGTTGTTTTAATGGATCATTAAAAAAATTAACGGCTACAGAACTCGGTGCTGCTGCTGCTGCAGGTGCAATTGAAAAAGCTGGTTTGTATTAATAATTTGGTGTTCTTTTACTTTCCTTGGAAATTAAAAATTAAATTCAAACTTTATTTATTTATTTCATTTTATTTTTTAAACAAAAAAATATGTATAGGCTTGAAACCAGAACAGATCGAAGAAGTATACTTCGGTAATGTTCTTCAAGCGAACCTTGGCCAATCTCCAGCACGTCAAGTTGCTCTTAAAGCAGGTACTTTACAATTTCATTATGTTGATTATTTCTCTGTTTCTAACTACATGATGTCAAATTAGGCTGCCCACGCTCAACAGAAGCAACAACAATTAATAAAGTTTGTGCTTCTGGTATGAAGGCTGTCATATTAGCTGCTCAAAATTTAGCACTTGGTGATAGGTCGATAATGATTGCTGGTGGTATGGAAAGTATGTCTAATACTCCGTAAGTAATTTAATAAATTTATCGGTTCTTTTTTTCCTGAAAATGATGATTTACAGTTTATAATTGATCTTGTAGATACTATTCACCGAGAAATGCCGTGTATGGTCATCAAATTTTAGCAGATGGAATAATTAAAGACGGTTTATGGGATGTCTATGGTCAAATACAGTACGTATTATTGTGTCCACATGATACTTCAAGATACCTCAATGTAGTTCAAGACAATAATTAACAATGTTTATATATTAGTATGGTATAGTAAGCGCCTTCCCAAGTTTTTTTTTTTTATAACGGATACAACATTCTTTTGACTAAAGTCGAGTTTTCGAATAATAGGGCAATTGTGCAGAAAATACTGCAAAAAATTATGACATATCGAGAGAGGTTCAAGATATGCATGCCGCTGAATCATATAGGCGTGCGGCTGAAGCTTGGAAGGTATTATATATTGTCACGGCTAAGATCGGCTGATGCTAAGATTTGAATCTCTATTAACTCTACTAAACCTACTAAATCTATAACATTTACTGAAATCTACATGTACTCTTTTTTAATACTCTAATCCTAAATCCTAACCCAACTCTAAAAAAAAATGCACCCGAAAATTTTTTTAAAATCCTTAAATTTCTTATTGAAATCAATTCTCAGCGTCAGCCGGTTTTAGCATCATATTCCATATATTAATAATTCTTATAGTTTTAGTTTCTAATAAAAAAAAATATATTTTTTGTCATTGTAACTTAAAATTAGAGTGGAGTTTTTAAAGCTGAGGTTATTCCCGTAACAATCAAAGATCGCAAAAAAGAAATAATTGTTGATGAAGACGAGGAATATAAGAATGTTAAATTTGACAAGATTCCTGAGTTAAAACCTGTTTTTGATCCTAATGGCGGTGAGTGATCTATTTCACATTTTACTAATAAAATACATCTAATTAATATATATTTTATAAACGATTCCCTTCACAGGAACTGTAACGGCAGCTAATTCATCGACGATTAATGATGGTGCTAGTGCCTTGGTGCTTATGACACGTGTAAAAGCTGAAGAGCTTGGTATCAAACCATTGGCTCGAATTCTTTGTAAGTAGTTATTACTTTGTATTTTTATATTACTCATGTCCTATTCATGTTTCTCTAAATACAAACATGTTTATATTGGATTTAGCATATGGTGATGCTGCAGTTGAACCAATTGATTTTCCAATTGCTCCATCTCATTCGCTTCCAATTGCTTTGAAAAAAGCTGGCCTTGGAATTTCGGATATTAGCTTATTTGAATTTAATGAGGCGTTTAGTGTAGTTATACGCGCAAATGAAAAGATTTTAGGTTTAGATCCTGGTAAAGTAAATATTGCTGGTGGTGCTGTGGCATTAGGTCATCCAATTGGTTCTTCAGGTTCTAGGATAATTGTTACTTTGACACACTTATTAAAGTCGGGTCAAATTGGTGCTGCATCTATTTGTAATGGTGGTGGTGGTGCTAGTTCTATTATTATTGAAAAACTTTAAGTTCTATAATATGATTATTAATATACAATGATTATTGTTTTAGTGTAAGATGATGTATGTGAAAGATTTGGAAATAATAAAATTGATTTGTTTTAGGCAATTTGCACAATTTTTATTAATACTGCCTCAAAAAATAAAAGTTTTAACGTAAAATTTTTAATTTGAAAGAAATTATAGAACCTTTGATTTTTAATAACAATATGGTGCGCGAAGTCTAGTTACATCAAATTATTTATAGTAGTGTTGAAATTTTTTTTAAAAAAATTGGATTTTTTTCTAATAAAATTAAAACCAAATACAGTACATGGTTTTACAGATCTTATCAAAAGCTATTTATATATATTTTTGATAGCATATATGAGTATATTGAAAAGAATTATCTATACAACATAAAACATGTTAATCATAATTTAGCTGAAAGAAATTCAAAGCCACAATTTGAAAATATAGTGAAAATTATGTTAGTTAATTAAGATAGCAATACATCACATTATAGTACTGTGTAAAAATATTTTTTTCACAATACAGTATATAATCATTAATCAGTCTAATTGCTAAAAATATAAGGTTCTTAATTCCTGATCAAATAAATAAAATGTTAAAATATAAAATTCTTAATTCTTGATCAAATAAATAAAAACATTGCTAAAAATATAAAATTCTTAATTGATCAAATAAATACTTTAAAATTATAACATAATTAAAATATAAAAAAAAAACATGTTAAAAATAAGAAAAAAAACTTATACATAAATAAGAGTCAACGGAGAAAAATATATTCGTAACAGTTGGTGAATGTAACAGGCTAGCAGTTGGCCAATCATTTTTAGTTTAGAATTTGATTGCACATATTTTATTGGCCGTACTAGTAAACTGTTACATATAACCGTCTGTTACAAATGGATTCGTCTTAAATAAAGTGCTAATATCAAATTAATAATTACTGTAAATCCTCATCCTCATAATACACCGAAATTAAGATTAATAGAATTAAACTTCATACTCACGCTGGTAATTTAATGCATGCATGATAAATGATCACGGTTAATCCTCTATTCTTTTAATACTCCAACATTAATAGAATTAAACTTTATACTCACCGTTTTTTTTATTTTGTTTTATTTTTTTTATTATTTAATGCACGATTCAACAATTACAATTAATCCTCTATCCTGATACACCAACATTAAGAACGAATATAATTAAACTTCATACTTACACTGGTAATTTAATACACGATTAAAGATTACGATTAATTCTCTATCTTGGTGCACCAGAATTAAGAACAAATATAATTAAACTTCATACTCACACTGGTAATTTAATACACGATTAAATGATTACGGTTAATCCTCTATCCTCTAAATACACCAAATGTTTGAGAATAAACTTCATACTTACCCTGGTAATTTAATGTGAACGATTAATGATTATAATTAATTTTCTGTCCTGATACATCAGTTGAAGAATAAACAAAATTAAACTTCATACTCACGCTGGTAATTTACTGTACGATTAAATGATTTACGATTAATCCTCTATACTTCTAATACATCAACATTAAGAACAAATATAATTTAACTTCATACTCACACTGGTAATTTAATGCACGATTAAATGATTGTGATTAATCCTCTATCCTGATACACCAACGTT